TATATATATATATATACATACATACTGTATAATGATACTTTTAAATGTGAAACTAAAATTACCAGTAAGATAATACAAAAAATAAAAATTACTTGTCTTAATCAGTGAGTCATTTATTCAATTGATTCTTTCAAAACGACTGATTCATTCAGGAACGAAGAATGAAAACGTTATAATGAATGGATCAAATAACCTAATTTGACAAATGGCAAAATCGGTCGGCTATTATAGCGATACGTTTTACAGTAAGTTATATATACCTGAAGCAGCTGCTGTAACTTTTTATTGATGATTGGCCAGTTTACATGTCGGTCAGAAGTACAAGCCTCAGTGGGCAGTTCTTGTCAGAAGTGAATGACAACGTAAGTAGACACTGCTGGATGTGCAGAGAGTAAGTCAACAGTTCTAATATAAATTATTTTTTAATAAAAACATTTGGGCCTTCACTCTCCTTAGCCCACCCCTTGCGCCGGCTCTGTGTATACAGCATATATATATATATATATATATATACACACACATTTTAATAAATACTGAAATTACACTGGAAATTGATTTGATTCCCAGAGAAAGTAGGAACTGATAACATTTCAGATAAAAAACAAAACAAAACAAAGTGTGTGCCAAATGCATAAATGTTAATGTAAATGTTTAACGAAATTACACTGGAAATGGATTTGATTCCCAGAGAAAGTAGGAACTGATAACATTTCAGATAAAAAAACAAAACAAAACAAAGTGTGTGCCAAATGCATAAATGTTAATGTAAATGTTTAACAAACACATAAACAAACAAACACTGGAATGCACACTGAGGAATCATACACAATATAATAAGGAACTTGTATTAAGAAAGTAAAATAATCAATTTTATGTTCTTGCTGACTTAAAACTATGAACATATAGATATGAAATGTCTATTCTAAAAGTCTCTGAATATTGGGAATCATTTTCTTACAGAAGCTCAAAAATCCATCTGGCAGCAATCCAAATGGAGAAATCTATATTTGAAAACCGAGCCGGAAACAGAAAGTGCATCTTACCGATGAAGAGGTTCCACTCCGGGTCCAGGTCCGCTTGGTTGGCCAGGCAGCCCCGCATGACATTTTGGCAGTAGTTGGCACAGGGTTTGAGGCTTGGCAGTCCTCCACAGTACGGACAGTACAGCATTTTGGTCAATGCTTTACTGCAGCCTGGAGATATATTGACCTGCAGGAGAAATACAAATGGAAAGAAGTTAGTCCTGAATGTACAGCGTTGCATTTGAGAGTTGTTTTGCAAGCTGTTGGAATAAATATATTCTAGCAGGACGCTCCACTATGTACTCATAATCTATGAAAGGACCTCTGTTGGATATTGAAAGGGTCTGAGTGGTTTGTGCAACACTTAAAGTGGTTTTCAGAGTGAAGAACTGCATTGACAGCAGGTCAAATGTGTCTTTTAATCCACACTGGGGTGAGATATTCGTAAAAGCATTGCATCTGCTCAATGCATGTCTATTTTCAGTGTCAATATGGGTGCAAGGGTGCAACATTCGCAGACACTTGTTGACAGACTTCGAGCAACAACATTCTCACATCAGCTAGCCTTCAGAGCAGATGTATATCTACTTCCAGCCGTCTCTGATAATTGCATGTCATTCCCTATCTTTATACTTGACTCAGAGCTTGTACGCCAACCATCTTCTGTCCATCACGCGCAGGTGGCTCTCCAAAGGTCAAGGCCGCACTGAAAGGAGGCAGATGGTCAACTGGAAACAAGCAACTACCGTTGAGTTTCTCACAGAGATCCAAAATGACATGATGTGTTGATTGCTCTGATCAAACCTGACAGTGTTGTGCCTTATAACACTACCTATAACTGTAGCATGTAACATATATGTTACGTGTTGTAAACTGAAACTAAAACAAATAGCATTAAAATATTTTTAGGTAAATGAGATGAAGATGAAAAACGTCTCGGGTTACTTATGTAACCATGGTTCCCTGAGTAGGGAACGAGACACTGCGTCCTCTAGGGGTCGCTATGGGGAACGCCTCGTCGTGACTCGTATCTGAAGCATACATTGAAAAAACACCAACTCGTTGGCCGGCGACAGCCATGACGTCACTACCGGTGCGACTACAGTATAAATCGGTGCCGGGAGCTACACATCATTCACTTCTTCGTCTGAAGCTTGCGTCCGCAGCATGGCAAAACTAAAATTAAATAAAAAACTAAAATTAAATAAAATATCAATCTTACATTCTAAAAATCTAAAAATGTGAAATGTTGCCTTGCATGGCAACTAACTGAAATTTAACTACTAAAATTAGTATCAGTGACATCAAAATACATTAAAGTTAAATAATAATAATAATAATAATAATAATAATAACATTAAAATTAACATTAAAATGAAAATCTAATTCAAAATAATAATAAAAATCATTAAGACTGTCTTAATTGTGACAATTATCAATAACAAGTTTGTTTCTCTTAATTGAGACTTTAGATAATTAAACGTAATCCCATTATTTCCTTGCACTCTGATACAAAAAAGACAAAAAATTATATACTTATTTCCAATTAATTAAAATTGAAAACTGAAAAAAAAAATTGTTTTAATAAAATTAAAAGCTAATTTAAAGTAATAAATACTATAATAGTACAAAATACTACTAAAATAGCACTGACAAACCCTGCTGTTAGAATTAGTAATTTTATTCTATTTTACACAAGGATAAAAAAGCAAAACAACCATTTATTTATTTCTTAGACCAGTGAATCGTTTAAGTAATATAAAACAACGGTAGGTATTATACAATATATACTAGGCAGTACATTAGTTATATAGCTATATAGTCCTCCGTTTATGAACAGTGTTTCTTTTCTTACTTTACCTCAGAAGAAGGCAAAGTAGAGACTAGCTTAGAGTATGAGAGTGAGTTTTCAATGAACTTTTCTAACGTTTCAAACACACGTATCCTGTCAAGCTTCACTTATTTACCCTTCAAAATCTTTGCTTTACACGACTCTACCGTCGGCTCGTAATTGAAAGAACAAGCAGAGGATCAGTTGCACGGCACACCTCCGGATTCGGGGCTAAACTCTTAGCGTCTTCATCATTCTGCTCGTCTGTGATGATCCAGACAGCACCCAACACCCTTCCTCTCCCGCTCTAAAGCTACACGTGTTTCTGGAAGACTGTGAAGGGAGAGGATCAAACGGAGCTGCTCTGACGCGGCCTGTTTTACACTCCCACATCAAATGCCGAGTGCAGGAGAGGTTTGAACGCAGTGTGTCTGCAATTTCATCACAGTAAGACTCACTCGCACAATGTGCCGACAGTTTTTTTCATATACTTCCTAATCAGCCATTAACTTCACACAGTACACTGAGAGCCTGTCTAGTTGCACATGGGACTTTGAACAAGGGACTCTACTAGGATATGACATTGAGACTGAGGAAAAATCACAGCATTGTTTTCATGCTTTAATATGGTATCTGAAAGGTTAGGATATATCCAAGATATGTCATTGTACTGTGTACCAGGATTGTGCCACGATATGTCATTGTACTCTGAGACTGAGGAAAAGTCACAGGATTATTTTCATGCTTTAATACATTGTCTGAAAGGTTGTCAAGACAAAGTCTGTTAAATGGAACCACACTGCTGACTTCTCTGCCACTGTAAAACTGCAAACACGCACATAAAAATAAGATTTTTTTATTGTATTATTATTATTATTTTATATATATATATATATATATATATATATTTTATTTTATTTTATTTTTCATGACATATTTTTGTGCCGTAAAAATGCATTAAATTAATCTAAAGTGACATCTTCACTTGCTTTTCATTAAAATGTATCTTGGTTTCCACAAAAATATGAACTATTGTGACACTAAAGACTGTAATGATGAAGCTGAAAATTCTGCTTTGATCACAGGAATAAATTACATATATATATATATATACAAAAAAAAGATACTTTAAATTTAAATTATATTTCACAATTTTACTGTTTTTGCAGTATTTTAATCAATAAATGCAGCCTTTGTGGGCAGAAGAGACTTATTTCAAATACATTTTTCAAACAGTCTTAATGCAGCCCTGTTTTTAAAAACATCACTAGCTGCATATCTTTGAAATGGAGCTGTCCAAGTGCACTGTTGTATAAAAGTAATGCAATTCCTCAAGCCAATAAATAGTATAGATTGAAGGCACTTGAGGTCAACAAAATGATTTATTCTAGAGCTATGCTCATGTACCCATAGCATGGAGATATTAAAGCGTAACCTGTGAACAATAAAATGTTCCTGCGGGTTTGCCCACTACATATTTTCAGTACTAATCTATCTTAACTTTGACAAATCTGCCATGCAGAAGAAATGCCTGGCAGTGATGGAGTAGAAATATGAGGTTCAACATGTGAGATGATATGCAGGAGCACATTATGTCATTTCCATGTTTCAAAGCATGCAAAACAATGCATTTTTTATGAAAGAAGAAAGCAGGCTTCCTCGCAATGCTCTGATAGCCCTGTCGCAAATCAATCTGAAAAGCCCAGGAATCAACCAAAGCCGTGGAGAATGCAACATGCAGTAAGCTTGATCAGCAGCCGAGATTTCCTGAGGACAGTGAGACCTGTAAGTCATTTATGAGCTCTGGCTTCACAGGCATTTCCACAATAGCAGTGAATTCCAATAAAATCCCTCTTTTTCACACCAGCGTCAAATCCTTTGAGCCGTCAACATGGGAGGTACCAATATGACATGAACGTTCATTTTAACCAGTTCATTTTCATTTTAGAAACTTTAATTTTTAATTAGTATCAATGCAGCAAAATTTCACAAGAGGAATCTCAAAATAGATTCAGAATAGATCAGTAGTCTTCATAAAATACAAATCCCTGATTCTAAATTGACTAATACAATGGCTGATAATATCTTTAAAAACATACCACTCTTTAAAAACATATATTGGTCAACTATTCTTAAAATTTTATATAATGTGCGAATACAAAATGACTTCATTTGCATATAAAAAACACTGAATAGAAATGCAAACTCTACTTGTTTTCTGGTACATGTGAAATAGGGCAATGTGGTATAAATACTTCCTTAAATAGATTTGACATTTGATGTGACTTTTGACAATTTGATTCAGTTCAAATATTCAAACGATTTGATTCATGTTTAAATTTTACAACTTAGACCAAAGGTTCTATTAAAATATTTAAATAAAAGACTGAATTCAAAGATTCAAATTAAAGATTTAATTCGATTCAACAGCTCTGATGAAGCATTTCATGGACTGTAATGCATGAGGGTTCTGGTAAGATCCGAGTCGGCTTGAAATCTTCTAAGACTCTGACAAGAACACTAAATGGTTGCTAAACCACACTGGTCAATATACATAGAAAAAGTTACACATTCTGTCATCTTTTTATCACACTTCATCCATCTATATTATTGCAATGCACCATTTCCACTGAATTCAATGTATTTGCATCATTCTCTGGCATAAAATAACCTGTAGTGCATAACACTTAAAGATGAATATGCTTAAAAATGTGTAAAAAATTCAAAGTTTTCAAAGAATTCAAAGTTCACATGAAAGATTCAATTCAAAGATTCAGTTATATGCTCAGCTCTATCACACTAATGCGCATTATCTAACAACTCTGACGGAGTGTAATGCCTAAGATCCGGTTTGATTGTTTGAAAAGCACTGAGTCGTCTTGAAATCAAGCATGAATACAACAAATTAGATTTCGGAAACCACAAGTGGACCTGCTTGTCTTTATACATTATCATTTGAGCCCGATTGCTAAAGCCTTGCTAATTCACAATGGTCAACATATGTAGAAAAAGTCACATACTTTTGGCCACACTTCATCCATTTACATCCATTCCAATTTAATTTAATGTTTATGATGAATATGCTTCAATGTGGGATTTTCCCTAAAAGGGTTTAGAATCATAAGTGCACAATGATATCATCATTTCAGCATGTAACTGATGAGAAGAAAAGCACAAGCAAAGTGCCTCTTCAATCTTTCTGCAAGGAAACGCCTTCAGCATAAATCCGAAATGGGGAGTCCTGCTTATAAAAATCTGATAATATACTGTGATGTATGTACAGGGAGAAGATAAAATGGCTTTGAGCAACTGCACAGAAATCCTGTTGGGTACATCCATTTTAAGCCTGGCACATT